TTTAATGTGACGTTTCAGCAACAGTCCTCTAGGTACTTATTTGGGGAGTTAATTAGGATTTATCCCGCATGCAAAAAATGTCAATCTATCACTTTTCTTAATTACTTCAGCTGTCATAGAACAAGAGTAGAAAGCTTGCTAGCTACATTTCATTATGAAATTGAGAGGAAAAGGGTCCTTTTAAACGTGGAAACACAGACTACTTGTTTTAGCTATAGGCAGACCTAGTCTGGTTTTCAGCACGCCCATTAAAAGCCAGGAAAAACCTTGATATTTTGAAATATTATCTGTATTTCATTTCAGTGCGCAGTGTCACATTCACCAGTGAAATCTGTTAAAAACGAAAGTTTCCTAAAGCTTTTTTCCCCTCTCTGTGTTATCCGCACACCCCTGTGTTTCATGGTAAAGAAGTTCAGTGTTTCTGATATATAAAACCCAGACCGTACAGTATGTGCGGTAATTTATGCATAAATGATCATATTTGCATTTGCCTGTCTGTTCCCATATTTTGGTTGCATATGCACATACCTGTGTGTCCATGTGTGTTTATGTGCATGATAGAGGTGTTTATGCTTCACCTCCTCCTCCTCCACTCCTCCCTGTAATAAACAATAACCGGGCATTAATCTCCCGGCCTGCTGCCTTAATAAATAATATCCACACATTCATCAACTTAAACTATTCACAATCAATGCAGCTCTTCATAGAAAACCCACCTAATAAATAGTGGTGCGGCCCACTGAGGCGTGAACCTATAGACCGGCCGGCTGATAAATGAACCGACCCCCACGGCGAGACGCCTTTTATGTGGAAAACTGCAAGTGAGAATTTTTCGATTTTATATTACACTATTTTACTCTTATTACTTTCCTGCGTGTGTGTGTGTGTGTGTGTGTGTGTGTCTACATCGTCTCAGGGTATTGTGGGTGTTTGTGATTTATTAGAGTGGTGAAGATGTTGGTCTATTTGTTTTATTCTAGTTCTGGGGTATTTACCCATTTGTAAGGAACTGATGTCAGAGTTTTGTCTTATTAGTTTCAGAATGAAAATCGCTTTATTTTCAGGCAGCACATGGGAGTTTATCCTGTCAGTTTAACAGCTTACACAGTAATACAGAACCAAGTGACCCATATGAAAAGAAAAGCAGAAAAAACTATATCATTTTTCCATTTCCTTCATGACTAAACATTTTTCAAGCCCCCCTGGCGGCTTCTATATATTCATGTAGGTTTTCAGGCTAAGCCTAGTTGGACCGGGCCACCAGAGGCTCGCACCTTCAGCCTCTACCTCTGGTGACCTTGTCTGGACAGTGTAAACTGGACCCTTGATTTTTGGGGGGGGTTTTTTAGTCATCATAGCGGTTGTCAGAATTTCTCTTTGTCTGGCCCCTCATCCAGGTCCAATTTGCCTTGGGAGATCCTACCAGGAGGAAATCATGAAGGGGATCTCCTTCAGAGATACTGCTCCTCCACTGAAAGGAGCCACTTAAGGTGGTTGAGCCAACCGATTTTAGTGCCTCATAGGTGAGGTCTTTCAGGCATGTCCTACTGGGAGGAGAACCAGGGACAGCCCCAGGACTCACCAGAGAGGTTATGTCTCTGAGCTGTCTTGGATAAACTTGGTGTGCTCCCTGAATGAGCTGGAAGACGTGGAGGGGGCGAGGGCAGTCTGGGGTTCACTGCTTAGACTGCTGCCCCGAATAAGTGGTCGAAGATGGATGGATGGATGGATGGATGGATATACAAGTCTGATGAGATGTTTTTGGACTACGGAGAGATAAAGATGGTAAAGACAAGAAATCAAAGTGTGTCTCAGAGAGGTCTAAAAGCCTGGTTCATAAAAGGATAAAATAAACTTCATTAATCCATAAATTTGAGAAAAAGAGGAAGAAAGAAACCACTGAAGAAGGACACCTCTCAGCGAAATCAGCTGAGAGAGCTGCAAATCCTTCTGCAGTGTATTCTATGATTGCCTGATTAACTGGTGATTTTAAACTGGCCGTAGGCAGTGTTGGTCAAGTTACTTGAAAATGGTAATTAGTTACTAATTATTGATTACTTCTCAATGAAAGTAATCCCATTACTTTGCTGATTGTTTATTTTCAAAAGTAATTTGTTACTTTATTACTTAGTTACTTTTCAAAAACATGCCACACAACCTAAATACATAATAAAGAATAGACCTTTCAGCCCAATTCAATTTTTTTCTGCATAATCCATCATATAAAATCAAGTGTTTTGTGTTTACACTCACTCTTTCAAATAGATGCAAGTAAAACACACATTCAAAGATCCAGCAGCACTGAGTCCTGTGAGGCAGGTGGAGGTTTGCCCAGTGCCGCAGCAGTCATGTCAGTGGGGGAGATCCGGGGGTTTCTCTGTAAATTTCACATTCCCGTGGCGGCGTGCTAGGTGCCTGCTCAGATTAGAAGTTTAATTTTTCATTGTAGAAAGAACTTTTCTTCCCACGCAGAGTACATTGGACGCTGATGTTTTTGTCACTTTTCATGGAATCAAACTCAAAGTGATGTAAGTGCTTCCAAGCTTTAAACACTGCATGGTCGTACTCTCTCCCGCACTCCATATTAGGGAAAGTAACAGTAATCTAATTACCTTTTTGCAACAGTAATCCCTTACTTTACTTGTTACATGAAAAAAGTAATCAGATTACAGTAACGCATTACCTTTAACGTTTTACTACCCATCTCTGGCCGTAGGTGTGAATGTGAGCATGCAACATGTCCAAGGTGAACCCTGGCTCTCGTGGGGTGAGAGGTTGCTATGACAGCTGGGATAGGCTCCAGCTCTGGTTCTTTTATATCCTGGGCCTGAATGTCTCCCAGGCTCCTGGAGAAAATCCACACATGGGAAGAACCAGCAAATGAAACACAGAGGAGCCCCACCTGCGTTTGACGCAATAATAATGCTGATTACAATTACAATGAGTAAAAGTAGCCATAACACTCATTAAAGTAATTAATGATAATATCCATGCTTAGCTAAAGTGTGACTGTAGCAGATAAAGTACCAATGGTAATCACCAGAGCGTCCCTGATCCCTGTCTTTAAAGCAGCTTTAAAAACGGGATCCTCAGTGTACTCCTGAGGTCGTTAATGTGACAGACAGAAGACACACAGCAGCTAATCACCTCAGAGCTCCCGGCTCATCAATGCACGGCACTAACTGACTTTCTATGTACTTTAACCCCACATCCTCCTGTGGTGCTGTGTCAAAGCCATGGAGTGCCTCGAAGCTTGATTTTGTTTCAGGTCTCACTCTGCAATTTTAGTGATTTTAAATAAGCAGTCCATAAAACTGGAATGCAATATGTAAACCAAACTGTGGAAGAAAAAAGGCATGTGAAATACTACTGCTACAAGTCTCTGCTCTGTAAATAGTGAAATTTCAAAATACTTACAAATAAATGTATATATTGGACCAATATAATCAGCTGCTGTGTTCTGGTTAGACTGACTCTCCACTTCAGTAAGTTTTCAGATCAGATGAAGGGACTGCTGCCATCAGGGAGGTGGACGATGATCCTCTCTGAAGACGTAGCTAAATGATATCAAGAAACCTACACAGATAGCAATGTGGCCAGTGAGACAGCCTGTAAGGAAAACATGTGAAGAAAAGAGCCGGGGTGAGTTTGTTTAGCAGAGGGTTGAGCAGTACTAAATTATCCTCTCAAAAAGATAATAAAGAAAAGCATCAACATATATGCTTGGGCGGGCTGCCTAAGTAAAGTCTGTATGTGGGAAACAGAGGTTTGCACACAGAGCCTGAAAATGATAATGGGGGAAAAGAGAGGAGATGCAAGATATGAGCAGAGGCTGAAGTGTCCTGTAAGTGAAAACAAAATACCTCGATAATGTTCACAGCTGGCTGCGTGTTCGGCTCAGCGAATGGAAGGAGTGTGAGATTAGATCTGCTGCTGTATGGAAGCAGGACACTCTATTAGCAGACACACAGCTTCTGTTTGGTTGTTTGTTTAACTCCCATTTGGGCCAAACACACACACACACACACACACACACACACACACACACACACACACACACACACACACACACACACACAGACACACACACACACTACACACACAAATATATCTCTTCTTTTCTTGTTCTCTTACTGTCTCTATCTCATTCTGTGTAACTGCTATTCTTCACAAACACACACACACACACACACACACACACACACACACACACACACACACACCATGATAAATGGTCCAGTCATGATCTAGGCCTGCATTGTTGATGAGGGTCAGGCTGCCATGGTTACCGGAGCAGTGTCCGACTTCCCCCGCCCCCTGTTTGCGTGTGTTTATAGACCATATGTATTGCTTTTTAGTGAGCTGTAATGTGTGCAGGCTCATGTTTTTCTGTATGTAAACAAAATGTCTCCAAATTTTCATTTTGTGTTAATTCACGTTGCTCCACTCCAGTTACAAGCACCCAGAAAAATTCATCTGTGCATCATTGTTTCTTTGTGATAATGGAAGAACAACAGAAAAGGTGGAACAAACCCATAAAAATGAAGAATCTTTATGGGGAATAATTCTTTTTTTGATTAATTTTCATGTCGTGGTAAATTAATACATGGAGCACAAGAGTCAAAGTAACAGAGCTAACAAAATAAAATATGATCTTACCAATAGACCTACGGGTAAGTAACATCATGGCCAGTAGGGGGAGACATCTCAGGTAACTGAAGAGGATGTGAATGTGTAGAAGTCTATGAGAAAATGAAGCTTCAGCTCACATCCTCTATGACCTAGCCTCAATCACTAGTTTAAAATCTCGCCTTTTACAATAATATTCTAAATTCATTTTCGATAAAGTGAGCACTAGTAGCAGTCCTCTTTTTGCAACTACAAATGGTGCCCCCTGCTGATTGTTAGAAAGAATGCAAATTTAAGGCAGTGAATTTAAGCCATTCCCGCACGCACACACCTTCTGTTTTCTTCTTTCATCCGACTGTCTTTGTCCTCAGACCATACCAGTGTGGCCACTGCTCCCAGTCCTTCTCTCAGCCTTCAGAGTTGAGGAACCATGTAGTGACGCACTCCAGCGACCGACCTTTCAAATGTGGATACTGCGGCCGGGCCTTCGCTGGCGCCACGACGCTCAACAACCACATCCGCACACACACAGGAGAGAAGCCGTTCAAGTAAGTAACAGTGAGTACCCCCAAACACCCATAAAATCCACCCACCTTGCCCCCACCTGCCACCTGTTGCGACAAACAACCCAGCTAATACCACTCGACTTGCTCTTAACTGTCACCACCAAAATTATTGTAGAAGCAAGTCTCACCTTTAGATATATTGGGTGACTTTGTCCCAAATAAGTTTTTCCTCTCCTGAAAATTATATTTTTGACACCAATAATTTCACTTCCATAACTTTGAGCGCTGTCTCTGTCTTTCTGTGTCTCTCATAATTATGTCTTTGAGGTCATTGAATAAACTGTACAGAGGACAATATAGCGCTCAGGGATCCGCTAAACCGCTCAAAATGTCAAAGGCACCATGGATTGTTTTTAATGTGGATGGCAACTGATGTTCCCATAAACTGGTAATTATCAACAGCGACCCATGTTGGTACAGCAGAGAATGATTTAGAACAAATAAAGCTCTGACCGAACTTCTCTAATAGCAGGTACTAGAATAAACTGTGAATCTAAATATTTTGTTACACCAGCTTGTAAATTATTCAGGTTTTTAAATCAGTAATAAAAGCAATTATGGTGTATATTCCCATATGAGTCTGATACAGATCAATGGAATGATTTCATGTCATTGACATCAAATTTGTAGAATCATAAAATGATTAATATGTTTTTAAAGAGTGTCACATCTGCTTTGTCTGGATGCTAAATCAATTTCCCCCAGCACTCCTGAAACCAACGCTTTCTCTCATTAGCATTGCTAATTACGTCACCATAAGAAAACTAAAGTGAGCCACCGAGGGCTTGAAGTCCTGAAGGTTTTAGCTTGCACAAAAGAAAAAAATATAAAATGGTAGTAAATGGGTTGGGATTTCATTGTTGTCAACAGATGTACACAGATATGCTTTAGTAAATAAATTAATAAATAATATGCACTAAAGCAGCAGGAACTCAGGTTCTTGTTCATGAATATTGGAGAGACACATCAACACGTCCTCCAATGGTGCTGCAGGTTCTAGAGTGGCCATTCATATTATATACAGGTAAATATTTCAACTGAGTCACAGTTTTACTTTGGCAGCTGTTAACATACCAGGACTGACCAACTAAAGCAGGGGTGAGGAAATCCAGGCCTCAAGGGCCGGTGTCCTGCAGGCTTTAGATCACACCCTGGGTCAACACACCTGAATCAAATGATTAGTTCATTACCAGGCCTCTGGAGAACTTCAAGACATGTTGAGGAGCTAATTTAGCCATTTGGATCAAGGACACGTCTAAAACCTGCAGAACACCGGCCCTTGAGGGCTTGACTTCCCCTCCCCTGATCTAAAGGTATGTGAAGGAGACACTGGAGTTTAAAAATGAGAAAAGACCATCTAAGAAGTCCATGCCTCAGTTTTGATGCACTAATAAGAAGCACTAATACGCCGCTATCAGTCTGTGCATTACACACTTACATCCAGCTTGCTCACCAAACTAGTTAGCGTTAGCTGATAAGTTTGCACTCCATCCAAACGCATCACTTCTGCCTCCAAAAATCAAACGTGATGGTGGCTAACACATTTTCACTGAAACTACCAAACGCTTCAGAAGTTTAGAAACCAGTTGATTTGTTGTCTACATTTTTCTTTTTGGTCTTCAGCTCTAAATTTAGCTCTGGTCCTAAAAACCAAAATCATAATAAGAGTCATTTGCAAACTGCTTTTATATCCCTTACTGCTTTCTCAATCACTTTTCTATTATTCATTATTCGTGATAATATTTTCTTCCATTCACTTTCATCATGTCTGCTGTGACCTCTGACCTTTGATGCTTTACTGTTGGCTGCCTGTAACGTTAAACTATGAGGAAATTCTCTTGTTTGTTCCTCATTGTAAATCAGAGGGCATCAGCAGATTGTCCAGTGTAAATACAGGATCTGTTAACAGCCCGGTAATGAATCTCCCCACACTCATTTCCATTTTCTTCTGCTGGTTAAGGCTAATATAATTAGAGGGCATGCCACGCTGCAATTCGAGGCTTCTGGATGCTGTTGTTGTCATCCTGTCATCTAATCAGCAACAGAGGACAATAAGGATTCCTCCAGTGGACCAAGAGGTCAGCATTCAAGTGGAGGCCAGAAGGGCCAAAGAGTAAGAGACATAAAAGAAAGTGAAGAAAGCAAAATAAGATGTTTGAGTTGTGCAAAATCTAAAGGACTGGCATCAGGGGAACACGGGGATAGAATCAAATTAACCTTCTTAATAAGCAATCAGAGAAATCCAAAGTCATCATTGACGTGGAGAGCGAAGAGGCGAGAAGGATGAGTGAGAGAGAGAAAGGAGGAACAAGAGATCATGGTGTAAAAAGTGAAACGACAAGCAGTGGCGATTAAATTCAGTTAAACCAAATCAGCATTCTTAATAAGCAATCAGAGGAAACCCCCGAACCTTTTCATCAGCACTTCAGAGTCTCGGTGGAGGCAGAGCGGGACAAAGACAATCACGGACGTGCGTCAGAAATCTTTAGCGGATCGATGGCCTCGGGGAGTTATCTCCTTTCGGACGGTGCAGCGGATAGATTAAAGCTGCCACTGTCACTTTGTCAGGAGGAAAACGCTCAACTTTATTTTCCCACTGAGGAGATGGAGGCCGCGATTCTGTGTGGTCGGCAGCTTTTCTGTGCTGATGCTCACTGGACTGTGCAGGCTGTCAAAGCGTGCTGCTGTTTTCTCTGCTCCGCTTTTTGTTCTTCTGTATTTTGTTCAGAGAAGCAACGTCTTAGCTTTGAATGTCACCCTGGAGACCACAGAAAGTTGTTTGACTTAGAATCATAAATATAATGTACTATTACTGTGAAGCTGCATAGAGACAGCATTCAGCGTGAGCGAACACTGACAAAAAACCCAAAACACTAATATGTACTATGCTTTAGGACTAACAAATGCCTTTTTCTATAGCCAGCACACAGAGATTATGCTTTTGTGTAGTGGATGCTGGTAGAGTCATTACCTCTTGTAATAAATTAGGAAAACTAAACATTTTTTCAATGTTTCTTTAAACATTTGTTGAATCTATTTTTCATGCAGCGCTGTGTGGCAGGCAGGATGAAGGACCCAAATGCAGATGAAATAAAAAAGCAGCTTTATTGCACTGTAGCAGAAATCAAACAAAACCCAAAACTCACAGAAACTTAACCTAAACTGGAAACTAGATAGCTATCCAATCTAATCGAATTCAATTCGATATTATTTATAAAGCACTTTAAACAGGTAACGTGACGTGACAACGGACAGAGGAAAACACAGGGCTTAAATACACCAGGGAGTAACGAGGGAATGGGAAACAGGAGTGAGATACAGCTGGGGCTAATCTGACCAAACGAGAAAGGGCGGAAGCAAAGCTGAAAACACTGAACACCAGACTGTCAAAATAAAACAGGAAATACTGAACACAGGCACGGGAACGCAGACTTGACAAGGAGACACGGCTGACAGGGAAGACAGAGAGAACATGGAGCACAGAGACAATAACAAACTGCGACACGGAGACATGACTGACACGGGAGGTGCATGAATATGGAGACTGGGAAAAAACGGACAATAACACTTGACATGACTTGATGTGACACATGGAACACAAGAGAAGGACAGTAACAAAACCTGAGATCTAAAAATTACTAAAGTATAAGCAGAAACTAACTCAATCAAAGAATAATAATAAACAAGAACATAAACAATGAGTCGCCAGACTCAGGACCGTGACACAGCAGCGGTCCCCAACACCCGGGCCCCGGACGAGTTATTTGGTTCCCGGGCCGCGAGAGTTCAGGCTCGGGTTTGAAATTTGTGATTTTCAGGGTTTTTATCGTTAACTCAGTTTCCCTGGGTCTTTTCCCGTGTGTTATGAATAAGTTTCCTATATATTTTCATGCGCTTTGTGTGTCTTATTTTGAAAGAAATATTTACGCGTTACCACAGCGACCATTAAGGGGCAGAGAGGAGGATGTTACTCTCAGTGTTGTTGGCGCATTTCAGGAGGACGCTGCTAATAAAGTTACACAATTACACAGTGAATTTCGCGTTTATTATTATATTTATAAAATACCACAGTTTTTGTCTTGGTCGTATCATTTTATTTTGTTGTATTTATCCGCGACACCTTAAAGACCAGTTCGTGAAATTTCATTTCGATGGTGCTGCCCAAACAAGTTTTGAGCATTTTGCGCCAATAATTGAAAAAGTTTCTTGCACTCAACAAAATATTGTCTTTCATCCGCCATGTTTTAATGTGTGACTGCAAAAGCTCAACAACAATTTCTCAGACTTTCCCAGTTAGTGTTCCAACTTTAAGGTGGTGTTCATGTGGATTTTCCCCAGTGGGAAATTCTCTTTTCCAGTTAATCCAACACCACATGAATGCATGGTTAGATCATGATTTATTTTCAAAAATATTCCCTCAGGAAAGAGATCTTACTAACCAGAGTTGCACGTTTCCCACAAACACAGCCTTTGATTTTGAAGTAAAGGTGTGGTCAGAGTTTGTCTGAACTGCTCGGTCTCGGTGCTGAACGTTGTTGTAAATGAAGACTTCGTCTGTACTTCTTCTAGCCCTTCAGCTTCTATCAGTCTGTGACTGAACACAGTCTGTACTTGTTTATCTCGCACTCGATCCACATCCGTACAGATGAGATTAAGATAAGAGGTGAGCTGAAACTTCACTGATCCTTGAGGGAAAGTGATTAAAGCGGCCTCTGTCATTTTGTCAGGACAACAACTCAACATTATTTTTCCCTGCTGAGGAATGGAGGCGGCGGCCGCTAACAGACGCCCGCTGGTCGATAGCCAGCGGACTGCAGCTGTCTCGTTTCAGCTCTGCTCTTTGTTGTGCAGGACAGCCGTCTTCGTGCCTGGATAAGTCGCTGTGACAGAGAAGCTTCAGAGGAGCTTTGAAGTCCGTAGCTGTTGTGGTTTTGTAAATTCACAGACGAATGACAGCAGGAACATCCACCTTAATGGCAGAGCAGTCGGGGGTCTGTTTTCTTTTTCTTGTGCTGCAAGAAAATTTAGAAAATGAGAATAATTTCAGATCCATCAGCTCAAAGTCTGGTCCTCACGCACACACGTATATGTAATATATATAAACATACAGGACTTCTTTAAATTCATGTGATCACAGAAAAACATTCATATCCTGTGATGTGATGGGGCGAGCTAACAGTTTCTGTCAAACTAATTTTGGTGAAGCTTAAACAGAAGTTTGTGTTTATTCTTTTTAAAGAAACTGGTTATTTAAGAGTGACAGACAAAGTAATGAGAAGGCAGAAGTCGCTGCAGCGTTGTCTGGACACCTGAAAACAGGCAAGCGGGTGGATGTCTGTGCAGACCGCTGCACGCTCTGACTGATGCTGAAATTTACATTACAGGGACCCAAGCAGATTAACATAGGTGGAACCCACTGAAAACGTGTTTCACAAGCTTCATTGTTTTAATGTACTTTCAATCTAGAGCTGCTTTTACAAAATGTGTCAAAAAAAATGGGGAGAACCAGTTCAGGTCTCAGCTGTTGCAGACGTTTTGGAATAAAACTGAATGCAAAGTACATGATCCTTCATGGTAAATGCTTCTCTCTGAGACCTTAAGGTTAAGGTTCGCCCAGGAGCAACATGTTTGACAGTAATCTATTCAAAATGTTAGGATGAAATTTGGTTTACAGTGGTCAGTCAGATCAGCAACATTAGCTAAAATTACACCGTTTAAATAGCCCATTTAAAAACATTTGATTTTAATTAGAGCGACCATAAAACCACCAAATCCAAAAAGCTACAAATGTGACCCGTCGTCAGACATCAGTTCAGTTAACCTGTTCTGCTCTTCTTGGCAGTTGATGACTGTCTCTGCAACTTTCCACCACATTAATGGTGTCAACGCTAGATGGTTGAACACCCATATCGTCCCTGCATTCCCTGTTCGGAAATTGAGATATACTTCACTTGAAGCTGAGGCCATAAGTGAGATAATCATTAAAGACTTCCTTTTTAAAATGTCCACCTTCACAGAAGGAGAAAGCTTTAATAACTGTATGGGCTCAATAAGGTTTTTCTTTAGTTTTTCTTCTTCTTCTTTTTTTAACCTGGATTTCACTGAAGCTTGTGGCAACTTGAATTGAAAGGATCTTGACACAGGCAGCAGTCAACAAGCTGTCTTCCCTCAAAAAACTCAAGCCACTGAACCAGACATCATGACAGAGTTTGTGGGTTTAGTAACATTTCGGAGGGAATAATGCTGATGCTGTCGCTTTGTGCGCTGCACCCATCCAGCTTACAAGTGTCTTAGCTGTCCACATGTGAACTGACTTCAACACAAACACACCGGCTGACTTCACTGTGGCTACATCCATCTTTTATATGCAATCTCAGATAAATACTCTTTTAAAAAGTTCAGAAAATGCACAAAGCTTAAGGAATAAATAACTTTATTATTATATTATAATAATTATAAATGAGTTTTTTTTTGCTATAGTTGAGCAACCCTGCATCCAATAATCCTGCTGCCGGTTTATGGCAGTGATCACCTTATGTACGAGACAGAAAGTCAGGCCCTGTGATGAATGTAGTGGCAGAAGCTGTATCACAAAACTGTGTCGTGTTTATGAGGTTTAATGAGGAAAAGCTCTGGTTAAAGAGCTTCCTAACAACCGCTGTCCAGACCACACTGTTTCTCCTCCTGAGTCTAACACCACCTCCCTCCCCTTCAACCTATCTATCTATCCGAGAGCACGTTAGTCTTGTTTCAGGGCTGTTAAGTCCAATATCTCCACACAGCTTTCTCTTTGAAGAGCCTCCCCCCACACACACACATTCATATACATTTAAATTACCCCCTAACCCCCCTCCAGCGCACACTAAAAGCTCCCTCTCTTCTCTACTTCTATTGAAAGTGACAGTGACACTGCCTTATCGGGCCTGGATATATCTGAGTGTGTGTTAAAGTGTGTGAGATGGGAATACCCTCCTCAGCCCGCCTGATAGATTATTGACAGGTGGACTGTGTGTAATTTGTCGGTCAGGTTGTGAGGATCAGGGCAACAATTACAGCTTGCTGCTCCGCTGGGCCTCACACACACTTTATACTGTCACTGGATATTAGGGTTAACAGGGAGGTGTGCGCATGATTGTGTACATGTGCGTCAGCAGATGTTAAGCTTTTGCCTTTTAAAGTGTATTTCTCCTCAGCTCTGTTCAGGCTTCTCTACGTGCAGACTCCTCTAATCGCTGTCTTTTGTGCGTCTTTCTGTTTGTGCGTCAGGTGCGAGCGTTGCGACCGCAGCTTCACACAGGCCACTCAGCTCAGCCGCCATCAGCGACTTCCCAACGAGTGCAAACCCGTGAACGAGACCAGCGAGTCCATCGAGGTGGATTAACCCCCGACTGTTTCCCGACTTAGACCACGTCCACATTAAGACAGTTCAATATGAAAATGTGACTCTTTCTTCAGTTTTGGACCTCCATCCACACCAAGACGCTCACTTCATATTAATTCTAATTTAGTTTTCCAGAAATAAAGCTCCTGAGGAGCATCACTGTGTTAATTGGGTCCAACCTGCACTAAATTAAACGTGTGGATTAAAAATAAAGTTTGCGAATTCCAGGAGTTTCCAGGGATAAACAACAAAATGGTAAATATTTTTGGGCAAGTATCATTTCAGTGTAGTGTGAGAGTCACTTTGGTCTTATTTATGATCACATTTGCTTCACCTTTCCTTGCTTTTAAGTTGATGACAACACCTTAAGTTACCACAGTAATGCAATAACAGCTTTCCAACAAGCTCTAAACCAAACAACATGAGAGGAAGTGTCATGGTTGTTGTAACTTTTCAGTCGTGTTGACCCACCTGACTGCGGTTGAAGTAAAAAACTTGCAAACACACAGAGAAAAGCTGCTGGTTGTGGCATTTATGTCCAAACTCTCCACCAGTCATTGTTAGCTTCCTTCATCTATTAGCTGAATAGATCAACCCATTTTAACGGACACGATACGGCTTTATTTATTTAGCACCAAATCATAACAAAAGTTGCATCAAAGCGCTTTATATTGTAAGGCACAGATCCTAAAATAATACAGAGAACACCCCAACAATCAGATGATCCCTATGAGAAAGGCAACAGTGGGAAGGAAAAACTCCCTTTAAACAGGAAAAACACCTCTGGCAGAAGCAGGCTCAGGGAGCTGGCGCTGTCTGCCGTGACCATTGCAGACTTTTTTTGATGATGGGAAGAAGAGTCAGTGTATGATAAATAACCAGCTCCTAATATCAGATCCTCACTTTGTAGCTGATTCTGGATCAGGATGGTTTTCCCTGGAGGTCTTAGCTGATGCCAGCAGAGGGAGTTAAATGTGTTGGTCCCCTAATAAATACCAACTATTGCTTTTTATTTGGGCTCATTTTTGGGCCTCTCTCTCTCCTGAGTGATGCAGTGTCAGGTGACCATTAAAAAAACAGTTATTTTAACTGTCACCAGATTTATATCAGGATATGTCCAGTGTTTCTGAAAACACACAGTAGAGGTCACATGTCTCTGCAAACAAACTGAATGCTCTTTATTAAAGCACACAGGAAGAGAGGGAACAGATTTCATGCTTTCCCGATGTTTCTGTGTGGATGGGGGTCTTTACTTAAGACTTTTTTCAGATTTATCTGTCTTGGTGGGAACGTTTGTCTGACTGTTTACACTTTTGACTTGACTGACTGAGAATTCTGGAGAGGAGCAGCATTCAAGCCACATTCACCCTGCTGGAGAAACTCCTGATTCAACCAAACCAAAGATCTCTTTTCTTTCCTTCTTTTTTTCTCAGCAGAGATTCAGACGGAGGAGTCGGACTAACAAACTTTTGAATATTTATTGGGGACGTTTTGGAATCCACAACAGGGTTCCCTCCAAAGAAAACTCTTTCCTGAAACCGGGACAATAACAATGAAATACCAAAAATATTAAGACTAATGGTCTGTCTGTAGCTTTACTTCTTTTTTTCTTTTTGCAACAGTGATGCCAAAGGAGGGCGCGACCAAAGCAAACAGTGAGCAACGACTCGAACGTCTGAGGATGACGCTCGAGTTTTACATCACAAAATGAACACCATACAAAGAGTATGTACTGTAAAAAAACAAAACAAAAAACAGACAAAAAAAAGAAAGGACAAAGGAAACAAATTATATTTATCTTTTTCCTCATATCATGCTTCAGGCACTTTTGTTTTAAAATGTTTATAATTTAATATTAGAGATGATGAAGAAAAGAGGGAAATAGTGCAGAGGTGATGGATGTGATTTCTTGAAATTTCTTTTTTCTTGATGAAATAATCATTTTTTAAAAAGTTTCAATATGAAGTTGACAGCATGTGTTTAATTTCTTTTTCGTATGCTAAACATTTCTTAAGTTCATGGGTTGTTGTTTTTTTATCTCAGATGAGGCACAAACATGTTAACAAATTTTGGGTTTTGAAGAATAGTTTATCATGTTGTCTGGTAGAGTATATTTGCTACGCAATGCAAGTTTGAATCCACTCAGATCTCAGCTGTGTAAATAGTCCTGTGTCATAACGATTCACTTTCTATTAAAACGACTGAGGGTAAAAAGCACATTTAATACCAGATGAACACCAAATAGGTTTTTGTGCCTGAGCGTTAAAAAAGCTTTAATAATGTTAATAATCTGAAAACTGTAGCTTCTCTTTCCAAAGACCGGCCGAGTGGATGTAACTCTGCTGTCCAAACCAAAACTCAAACAGATGTTTCACTGCAGGGAAACTATTTTATTTTTTATCACATGCGTGTCTCAGAGAGGTCAGGAGCACCTTTAGACCTCACACAGGCCTGGAGAAATTGGAAAAATGTTTATTCCCCAACCAGTTGGTGAAGGCTGACGACAGAATCATCGCTAAAGTCACACAGGCCTACAAACCAGTGAGAATCCACCTGGAAACCACAGGTTACCAGAGAAAAACCCCACACTGGTTGGTGGACATTGCTACACCAAACACGCCCTTGGGATTCCTCTGACCTCTATCAGGTTACTGCTCTCAGCTGTAAATTGTGCAGAAAACCAAAAGGTGTGATGCAAACCAGAAACTAGTAAAAAAAACCATGAAATTAGTGCTGACACGGCATATTTCTAAAGGTGAAAACTGTTATTTTTGCAGGTGAATGGTTCTATTTCTTTCACTATTGATTGACAACTGTGTTTACAGACACATCTTCTGTGCAAACTGCAGGCAACAGAAGCAACCTGCTAGTGACCAAAGCAATGAGGAGGATTTGGTGCAGCACCCTGTTAGCATCCAACTTCACCTAGCAACTGGCAGCCTCCAGCCTCTGCAATAAAGATAATAAATCCAGATGTTTGGGCAGTCGAGCATCTGGACAGAGGTGCCCCTCAAACTCTTACAGACTCGTTTGTGTTCTTAAAAGTAAAACAGTTTTGCACCTGAGAGAAATATCTCTTTACTCAGAATGCAGCTTGATCCAACGATGTATATAGAAAGATGCAAACTGTGGATCAGTTGGGACTAAAGTGAAACTTTGACCAAGCTCACTTCTTGTTCAGAATCCAGAAGCTGGACTTTAACACTATAACCTGAGAAAAGTGTAGCTCCAACAGATGTTTCTAATTAAATAGGTAAGTATTCTAATAATAATTTAGGCAATATAAAGATTTACCTTCTGTGTTCTAAGTCCTACTTCTGACATTTTCAGTGTTAAACTCTGATGATGACCTGAACAGAAAGTGAAACTTACTTGGGGCCTCTGATGATGATGATGATGATGATGATGATGATGATAATCATTTGCTCTGTAATGTGAAACAGAAAGTCTCCAATTTCAGCTCAATCTTGTTTGCATGATTCCCTCAGCTCCCCTCCCTCCTCCCATTCCCATTTTTTAAAAAGATTGACAAAATGAGATCAAATAGCAAAAAGACGTTGTTCCAGAGGAAAATAAAGCTGACATCCACTTTTGATTCTTACCCATGATGCTCTCTGTGATCTTATTGTCTTACATCACCTGCACTACATTAACTTTCTGGGGATGACAGAAAAATGTAACCACTTTTATGTCCACGGCAATTTGTTGAGCTTGAAATTTGTCTTGTTTACAACAAAAATTGACACTGCTTTCATCTCTGCACAGAAAATATTACTACTGTGAGCCGACTTGGCTTAAGGCTCTTTCCAGAAGTGAGTCTCTCCAAATGTCCTGTTATAGAGCAGAAATAACTGGTCTGGTACAAAAATGATTTTAGCCTCTTGTAACATCATCGTTATAGAATTTCTTTGTTGTCTTTTTTATAACTCATCCATCTGGATTTATTGCTGCTACATTATATTTACAGATGATATGATTTACTTGTGAAGGAGTCCAAAAAGTTTGTCCTTGATGGGGAAGGTTCTCTTTTCCATTAATTAAATTTAAATTATGTTTATGAAAGTAGCTTTAGCAATGTAAAAAAAAATGACTGAAGGTGTTATTAGCTTGCTATCATTAGCTGAAAAGTTTTTTACTGTATCTAACAAATATGATCACTTATGGCTCCCAAAAACGGCATGATCAGTGGTCATGATGGTAACATTGAACCTTCAAAATGTATCTAGAAAGAAAAGGGTTACATCATGAAGACCCCAGCCATCTTTTATATACAGTCTTTGGTGTTTACCCTACATGTATTGGTGCTGTCAGTTGTCACTGTCAAACCTTTAAGTGGTCACAGAGGTGCTGATCAGACGAGAATCGGATATTAATCAGATTAAAACGATTCCTGTTCCCAAATTCCATTTTTAAATAATTTCTGAAGTTTTTCACCTTCACACGGCTTAAATATTTTATCTTCTTGCTACACAGGATGGTCCATCCCTCAATCACCAGCTGCCTCTACTTACTGCTAATAATGTGTGACACACACAGCCCTGCCTTGACCTCCTCTCTGTCAGTCTGCAAGCTGCATTTTCAAACTTTCCAGTCTGATTTCTGAAATTATTCCTGTGAGGATTCAACAAAATTTTACCAAAACAAACACAAGGCGAGCCTTCAGACATCACTCACAGGGATTTTTTTTTCACCGTGGGAAACTGATCCAAACTCTGAAGCCAAACAAATGATCCCACAACGAGAAGTTTGAGGAGTTTTTTTCCCCCCACTTTCTAAATGTCTGACAGACACATGAGTGAGTCAAGATTAGATTACACGTAATGAGATTATGGCAGCGATAGTTTTAATTAGAAGCAGTTAGTGTGAAGGAAGAAAAACAAACGTATAGAAACTGCTGACTGAGAGACGAGAGAGAGGAGGAAAACTGTTCAGTTTCATTTGTTTGAACAAGTGAAAAATGAACAAAGACATTAAATTCCCAGGAAGAGGAAAAAAAGAGAAGAATGCCTGATTTATGACCTCAGCCTAAATAATTTAAAACATCCCCAGCTGAAAGAGAATCCAGATTATGCAATGAGGAAAATCAGAAAAAAGGGAAATTGCACACTAATTATAGCAATCGCTCATTTGGAAATGAGTTGAAATGAAGGGAAAAAAGTTGTTAATGTACAACAGGATGTAAATTAGACTATAAACAGAGTACTTGTAATAGAAATCAGGTTACTGTGACCCAAGAACAACTTAATGAGCAATAATGAAACTTTACTATTACAAGCTTTGCTTAACATCAAAGGAGGTAATAATATTAAACTTTTTTTTTATTATAAAATGATAATAAACAAAACATGTAACAAACAGAGAGAAAACTACCAAAAAACAACACTGAAGAAAATAAAAACACTAAACTACAAAACGGGATCGAAGCATTGCAGGTTTAGGCATCACAGCCTTCAGGGCTGGAAAACCAAAGGTGCTCTAATGGGGGCTTAGACTCCCAAAGTGAGTCCATCTCCACAGACCCCTGTCATAAATGTCCAGTTTTAAGTTTAGGGCCGTGTCCTCTTTGACAGGCAGGTGGATGCTGAGACATGTAGCTGCAGCTGCTAGCACTTTGTGTTTGCCAAGTCAGTGACTGAATCAGACTTTTAAACCAGGTTTGTGCTGTTGATTCATTTTGGAGTATTTTTAATGCAATCAAATGACAATCTGGTTTGCTTTGTGACTCATTTTACTACTAACCCATTCTCTTGAGGTCCCATCACAGCATTTTGATCGGGTTGAGGTCTGGCCCACTGAACAACTTGATTCTTTTTATTTTCAGTCATTTTGTAGATTTCTGTGCTTAACTGTAACGGGTAATGTCCTGTTGCTTGACCCATTGTCAGCCAAGCTTCATTTGTTAGAAATGGCATTCTCTAAAACAGCGGTCCCCAACCCCCGGGCCTCGGACCGGTCCGTGAGTCGTTTGGTACCGGGCCGCGAGAGTTTAGGCTCAGGTGTGAAATGTGTGGTTTTCAGGGTTTTTATCGGTTTTCAGCGTTATTTTGTTATCGTTTTTATCGTTAACTCGGTTTTCCTGGGTCTTTTCACGTGTGTTATGAATAAACCTTCTTTTTTTCGGTACCGGTACTAGTTTTATTTTGTTGTATTTATCCGTGACGCCTTAAAGGCCGGTCCGTGAAAATATTGTCGGGCATAAACCGGTCCGTGGCGCAAAAAAGGCTGGGGACCGCTGCTCTAAAACACTTACAGAGAAGTTCATGGTCAACTCAATGGCTGCAAGGTGCACAGGTCATGTGGCTGCAGAACAAGCCCTCATCATCACCCGTCCCCCACAGTGATTCAGAGATGATGATGATGGTTTGTGCTGATATGCTGTGTTTTATTTTTTCCAAATGCGGCGCTGGGCATTATAGCCAAAGATCTCCACTTTGGTCTCATCAGTCCAAAGGACTGTTGCAGCCGTTTGGTGGTTTCCGCAGATGAGACTTTGCAAACCAAAGCTATACTGCCGTGTTCTTTATAAAGGAAAGCAGCTTTCTTCTTACTGGCAACCTCTCCAGACAAACTGTACTTGTTCAGCATTTTAAGATTTTTTTTAAAATTTAAAACTAAAAATTACATTCACTGAACTAAATGTCCAAATTTGAGCTGATACCCTGAAGTCAAACATTAATCAATCGTCAATCAGGTCAAACACTAAAAGTAACTGTTCATTCATGAATAAGTAAAGTTGCAAATTCAGTTTCAGAGCTTGCACATACTGGTGGATTAACAGAAACATAATAATAACGACAGTATGATTAATGGGAACTAAAACACACACTTTAGAACAAACACTGTGGGTCAGCTCGGTTGTACTCCACAGTGGCAGATACAAGAGAAGAAGACTTCAGAGAATGGGGTTTCCCCCACCGTGTGTGTGTGTAATGGGTGTAATGGTTATAATGCTTTGCTTTGAGTGGAATTTCCTGTTCGGAAGACTGGGAGCATATTAAGCAGAGTAGAGGTTGCACTTTCAAAACCAATTAGACATCAAGCTTTGGAGGGTTTTTTTCTCAAGTTTTAATTGGAAACATGTTGGAGGAGAAAGTTTCACTGTGAGAAAATCTGTCTGCTGGTAACCCGACCACAGCTTCAGATATATCACATGAAAGAGTCCGTTTGTGCACGGCAGCCACAACATTAAACCCACTGTCAGGTGAAGCTGATGAGATTTATCTCAGCACAGAGCAATGTTCTGCTCAAAAGACGATCAGCAACCTTCAAGGCTGGAAATGTCCCCCAAACTGCAGTTCCTCTAATGGCCACGAGAGGCTGACTGCAAAAATGAGACGATCCCCATTGACTCTAATGTTAAAATGCTAAAATGCACAGCATGAATAAACTTGTGTGCAAGACAGATTTGACTCTTGCTGAAGAAATTTGAGATGTTGACAGGTAACCAGCAAGAATCAAGGCTCTACTCTGGGCCTCCTCCTGATGGGACATGTCCCGAACACCTCATCCAGGAGGGATCCTAGTCAGGTGACCAAAGCATCTCGACTAGCTCCTTTCAGTGCGGTGGAGAGGTGGTTATATGCCTCCTGAATGATCCTTCTCCATCTGACAGGATGGAGGAGGATCCTGACAGGAGGATCTTTGGATGAAGATCATTTCCCCTACTGGTCGTTTGTATCTACAATCTCCATCATTCTTTTGGTCACTACCCAGAGCGCACGACGACAGGTGAGGGTAGGGACATATATTGACTATTGACTTTTCCCAGAACAAAATAAATTTGAATCGTCTGTACGAAAGAAATAAGAGTAAATTACTGTTACTAATTATTACATATTAAATGTTATTTGACAGAGACAATGCAATGCAGTGCAATAAAAGTGGTATGTTGCACAGATTGTATAGCTATTCGTAATTTCCAACCCTTGTGACTAGTTGGGCTTTTATATCCGCAATATACAAAGATAAGAAATTACAATAAATATATATTTACTTGGAAAGAAAATATACACGATAACAGAAAATATATAAAAGAAGATACAATAATTAAAACCATTCCTAAGAATATTAAATGATAAAATTATAGTCTCATTACTTTAAATGGCCTTTGACTATTAACTATTGACTGTATCATTAATTCTCTGGTGTCTGTTCCATGTTGCTTTTCATCCATATGCGAGCTATAGCTCCAATCCTGTTCTTCACACGTTTCTTGAATACTCTAAAATCTGTTGTATCAAAGACTTTCTGTAAGTCACTACAAAGTAGCAGCAGAACATTTTAAAAATGACCCGCTGACATCAGTGAATGGCTTTCGAGACTTTCCAATATCCAACATCTGGCAAAAATGGAATCACAATATTTGAAGGTTGACCATTCAACTAGCAGCAGCTATAACACAGTCCTACTTTTCTTATACCCCTAACCCTATATTTTGAAGGAAGACTAAATGGACTTTTAGGAGCAAAAGTGTAAGGTGCATTTGTTGTGCTGCATTTCCACTGACACTTTTCTTTGCTGGCTGTTTGCAAAGGCAGGACAATTTAGTAAAACCAAAAATGACAGGTTCTGATTGCCTAGATTTTAGAGTTCAGGTTATTGATTGGATTCAGGTTGTCACTGATGACGACTTCAGAGGGTTAATAAGTGAACATTCTGGCTTTAAAAAAGGAAGAAAATAATTAAAGCCTGTATGTGAATCTCATTTCATCTGTCCCACTCTTGCAAACACTGACTGCTTTTCATTTATTTTGTTGCATTTTCTGTTTTCAAAAGCATTTTTCTTTGAGTCTTCTGTCCGTATGTTTTGATTTTAAAACCCTATTTTATTTCCATTTTGGTTGTACTTGCTCCAAAATTTTAGACACAAAAAGACAACTGGAAACAACTGCCATCCTTTGAAAGAGACTTGAAGGAGTTGGATCATCCTTTCCATTGTTTCAGTTCAAAGTCCTCTTGTTTCAATTGTCTCATTAGGTGTAATTATGACATAATGATGTCTGATATGAAAAAAATCAAAAAGAGGAGAGATACAACTAGAGGTGCCAACTCAGTTTGTAAATAACATCACTTTTGCATCACAGCTGCTCCTGGCTTTCTTTGGAAACTTATCAAGTAAAAACATTTTTCAGAATAAAAACAGTGAGAGGGTCACTAACATCTGAGCATCATTTTACATCCTTGTTATGCAGCAAATTGAACTGAAGTTTTAAAAGCTGGGGGTAAAAACGCAGAAAGCCGACAAGACTTGAAAGGATTTCGCTTTAAACATCAACATTTTTTCACTTGACTTTTTCTTCACGTCTTCCTCTCGTCCTCGTCTGCATGGATGAGCTGGAACATCTGCTCACCGTCAGCACACACTAATGCATCTGCGTGTGTGAGAGAACATGTTCTACATGTTATAACACATGTCGTCTGTCTGCTCAGCGCAGTCCATCTTCAGCTTTGTTTCATTTTACTTTGGACCTAAAAGTGTTTTGCATTTTTAGAATATACTCTGCTATATTTACTGCTTTAAAAAAAATAATTCTAACAGCTGTAATTAACAGAAACTTTGCAGAACTTACAGTTTAATAATCAATTGGATGGATTGTAGGGAATATTTTGAGAATTTAAAATATCCCAATGGCACATGGAAGTGTGCATCATAAATGACCTCACTCAGTTACTTGCGTCCTGTATTACTCGAGTACTAAAGCTCCAGTCCAATGAGCAACAGCAGTTATAGATTCATTTTTACATCATCTGTAATTCTTCCTCCTCATTTGGTTTAGAATAAAATCACAATCAGGACTCCAATGAAATATTCTCATATTTACATTTACTGGCGAACAGAGAAATGAATTTATTTAAAAGAAACTGTTTCAGGAGAATTTAACATTTTTAATGATGAGTAAACATACTGATCTGCTCTCTAAAAACACTAATGAAAGACACACAGCAGCTTTTCTCTCAAAATAATTTATTCCACACGTGCACACAGATCAGTCATCTCTGATCATTAAAAAATAAATTAGATCTCAGTGTTTGCAGGAGAGTTTCTGAGGCTACAGCGCCACCTGCTGTCAGACGGAAAAACTCCTCAACACTGCACACAGGCTCGTCAGAGTCTCTAATAACTTAAAAAGAACATTTACTCAGTAATGCTTCAGGCTCTCATGGATCACTCTGCTGGTTTCCTGTTTTTAGTAAAGAAACATCCGATCTTGTTGATTTTAACAAGATCCAAAAATCAAAAGTTAGTTTTTATTATATTATAATTTATTCTCTGCTTCCTAAGCAGCCATTATGTAAAAATGAGCATAATAACTTCAACAAAATAAATTTATCTGCATGGAGTGAAAAAAAAGGAAGTTTTCCTGATCCTCTGTTAAACTAAACCGAATATCTTTTTCAGATATTCACAAAACATGAAATAAAGGAAGAAATCGAACAATTAACTAATCATCGTTTGAGTCTGTGGTGCGTTCACTGACACAACAAATGAAGGACGAGTCTATTTACACAGTTAATACACTAACAGACACTCAGTGAATGTTGCAGTGTCCTTGAACGTTATGCATTTGTCTTTTTAAAGGTAAAACACTGAAAATCAGCAGGATGATGCTTTAAAAGCAAAACTCTGAGTTTTTATACAACACTCACTCGTTCACAGATAAACACAGATTTTAAATAGAGGTTGATTTATGTAACAGACGCTGTCGAAGCTTCAGGACTCCGGGAGAGTTCATCCACCATCATGCGCTTGAGTTCTGTTTGGAGACAGATTTTGGCGCACATGAGAAAAAGATCTCATTCAGGTTCTAAGTAGCTATATTTTCTATCATATCTATTCTATTGGTGCATGTTCATAATGAGGTTGGTAAAATTTTTAAATAACGAAGTCAGTGCATGTACAAGTACTCTCTGTGGGCTGAAACCTCTGACTTCAGACTGCTCTGAATACTTAATATCACAGTTTTTTTTTTTACTGTTTGCTCTGTATGATGTCACAGAGAGGGGGTATCCCTAATACAGTTATCTCAGACACAGCAGCCATAGAGGCTACATGCTGTTCATCTTTGCGTTAAAGTGAAAGCCAATCGTAGGAAAGCTGCCTTTTTCCGTATAGACGCTGCTGATATCGAACTTTACACACTGCACTACATTAAACTCCATGATTAAGGTACATGTGACATATCACTGCCAGCACAGGAGGCTCAAGGCCTTGTTTAAAAAATAAAAATACTTACAGAGAGCGCAATAATTCAATAATATTCTGCATTTACTTTAAAAATGTCCCCGCTGCTCGGTAATTGTCTTAAAAGGACCATTGTGCACGTCTCATTGCTTTATGTGATAAATACAGAGGGAAACTGTTTTACATTTAATCAAAATGTAACACAGCACAGATCTGCACGAATGCACAAAGGTCTAGGTTAACATTAATTATTTATATGTTATACACAAATACCATAATAATGAAAAATTTAATGCCTGATTGTGCAGCACAGAGGAAAGATGTTTATTCAGCAGTCGGGATCTGCTGAATAAACATCTTTCAGACTGATGTGGTCTGTGGTCGGTTGGAGCCCGCAGGCTCTGCTTCGCCCGTGTGTGTCTGAAAGTGAGGGTGGTCCTGAAAGGGGAGGAGCTAAAACAGCGCGTTTCAGATGAGCCGGGGGGGATGCAGGTTACAGGGATTACTTTGAACTGTAAATCATGAAAAGCTGTTGTAGTATTTTCGGAAAATAAAAATATAAGCTGGATATTAGCAGAAAGGGTCCATTTAAATTTTACCCAATTACAACAAACGTGTCGCCTGTTTGTTTTCTTTCTGAAGAATTACAAAGATGTGATTAAATCGGACTCAGGTTTCGAACTGAATTCAAACAGGTAGCCGATTTACCTGCAGCCTCAGGTATGACTCAGACTCTGATTGGACGGCTGCAGCAGCGGTCAGAGCTTCCCTCTGTCCGTCATGGCTTCCTGTATCTGCCTGTTGAGCTCGGCGATGATTCGGTCTTCGTGGGTATAAACTCCAGTCCTTAGCAACGCGTCTCTCTCTTCCAACAGGCGGCTCAGGTGCTCCTCGGCGCTCTCGCTCAGAGCCAGACCGGGGGCGGGGTCAAGCACAGAGGGGGTGGGGCCTAATCTGTCATCTTGCTGTTTTAACCTGTTGAAGAAAACAAAATGCCTTACAGGAGTCTGTACTGTGAAGCAGGGTTTGGGGCAATATACTTTCAGGTTCAACGCTCAGATTTTATTATTACAAATGAGGCACGTTGCCATGGTAACTTATGCTGCAGATTTGCAGAACTTTTATGTTCAAGACGAGAAAAAGCTACTGCCAAAGGATGCCTCAGTCCTCTGGAAAGTAGTGCAAATAAGAAACTGAATTTTATTCATTCATGTTTTAGGTGCAACTTTATTTTTTTTCCTGTTGGCTGTAATTAAAAAAAGTAATTGCTCACAGCTGTTTGCTGGCTTATAGTGAATTTTGTCTACAGAGGCATTTCCAGTCTTAAGCGTGCAGACAGCTTTACTCCTGCCATTCTCTATGATGTTTCAACTGTTTCGTGTGAGCGTGCTCACAGCTAGATTGGGAAACTCTGGGTTGGCCGAGCTGATTTTTGCGACCACTTTGCGGTTGCTGATGTTGGGATAAGTGCAGCCACGTAACAGAAAGACACCCCGAGTCTGTTGAACTTGATCATCACCATCACCTGTTGAGCTCGTTCCTGATGCTGTCCAGCTCCTGTCGGTCCTGTCGGACCGCCTCCTTCTCCTCCGTTGCTAGGTAACGCAGCCTCATGGCTTCGAGCTCAGCCTGTTGTTTCTTCAGACGCGTCATGGCGTTTTCCTGCTCCCGCTGCAAAAAACAAAACAAGAGAAACTATGAAGCTGTGAATGTTCGTTAAATGTGAGCAGAATCAGGTTCTCTTTCACCTCACGTAACCTCAAGATCTTCACTGTTACTTCCAACACGTTTAACTTGAACCTTGGCATTCAAGCACCGGTCAACTGATCAGATCTGAACTGAGAATATTTGAAAATAAACCTCTGACCCGTGCGCTGAAATGTGTGAGTTCAGATGCCAAGAAAGTGTTTTTCCAAATTGCACACAGAGCACTGTGGTGATAAATTTGTCTGGTTTCACATTTTCATAAAGCTGGCCTGAGAAAAATGCCGCAGGGCTTCGAGAGAATTCACACGGAGACCAACAGCAACGCGGTGAGAACTCAAAGGAAACTTAATAAAAAATGTCCAAAAGCCATATTTCTCTCAGCTGCTCGGGCCTCCAGCTCAGAGTTCCCAAAACCGTCCCGAACAGCAATCTGAGCCGAGTCAGCTGGACGCTCATAAATCAACAAAACCGTCTGAAGAGAGAAAACAAATGTGGCGTTCCTTCAGACCTTTAATTATAAATGTAAAGAGTTATCATTTAAAGGCTGCAGGTTGTACATCCAACAACCTGCAGAAAAAAAAATCTGATATAAGAACATAAAAGATTGAAGGTGATGACATAACTCCAACATATGAACCTACTGTCTACGAGAAGGGATAAAAAGAGCATGTGCTGTGAAAACCTCGCGCTTTCAAACCGTATTTAAGACATAATTAAATGTAAACAAATGATCAAATAATCTAGATTAAAGAAGTACAAAGTCTTTTTTGGTCAATAAAATAATAAAATGGGAGAAAAATAATGCGAAATCTCAACATACAAAAGCATAAAGTGATGTTACCAAATATCTTTTTACTTTTAAATTAGAAAAATATTACATATTCAACACGAGACCAAGAGAAGCAGAAAAGCGCACTGGGAGAATTTTCTACTTTCAGTTTATTAAAAATGACCGAAAACGTTGAATAAATATGAAAACAGCTGCAGATGAATCATCTATTGGCTAATCATTGCAGCTCACGTTTTATGTAGTGATTGGAGAAAACAGTTACTGGGGTATTTCTTATTATTCTGACTGTCACCGTTAAAAGTGACAAATATCTGGCTACACGTGAACCCTGGAAGGATGTGTGAATGTTTCCAGCACTAGCAGAGGGTCAGCAAGTCATCAAAATTACTCATAACCCCAGTCGAGGGCTGCCGCTAACACTTATTTTTGTTATTAAGCACATTTGAGAACGAATTACGTGGTTAGAAATGATGATCCAGAAAAGTGGTTAAAGTAAATTCTCATGTTTGGTAATTAGTTACCGCCGAAGGTTTAAAGTTATAGTTAATTAATCAGTTAAATCATTTTTTAAATGTATTAATTAATCTGATGACTAATTTCATGATCATGTGATTGTTGTTTGGTCTGTAAAACATCCAGCAGTGAAGTCTGATCTGTGTAACAGTCCACAAACAAATTTAAATATTTAAATTAAACTGAATGAACTAAAGAGTAATGAGTCATTTAGAAACATCTAATATTTGCCCTTTTCCTTTGAAAACAGGGTGGTGGTTAGCAGCTACTCAGCTGTGACATTCTTCTCATGTCTAATGTTTTGCTTGCAAAGTTGCATTTGCAAAATCTAAACAAATAATTTATTTCATTATAAAAGACAGAAAAAGCTGAATATTTGGCACATTGTTTTTTAATATTATTTAAAGAATTGAAATATTGAAGGGATTGCATAAAACACAGAGGCAAGCTGACCAGCAGCTTCATTAACATTTAACAGAATGTGAGACCAAAAAATTCCGGAATTTCTTAAAGTAGAAACATTTTGTCTGAAAAACAGTCCAAAATATTTAATCTGTCATATGTCAGGATCAAGATTGGCAGCACTTAATATCAAACTATTATATGTTTTACTAACAGGTAAACAATTAATCAAATCAACCAATTGGGTTTTAGGTTTTTAGGGTTACTTGCAGGATGAAGTTTGTCTGGGCACAAAGGTTTAAGTCACTTGGCCACTGGTTTTGGTTTATGGCAGCTTTATGCGGTAACCTGTTTCTTATCTTCATGCTGTGCTGAAGATCTGGAGGTTATCCACTGTTCTATCTGACAAACAGACCAAAATATTTAATATCTGATGGCTGAACAACACTTTGGGTTTTTTTTTGTTTTTGTCTTTTTTGGGGGGGGGGGGCTTCTTATTTCTTATCATGAAAAAACTGAGATGCTCTCTTTAACAGCTTAAACTAAAAATTATGTTGATTTATTAGGTAACTGATTTTTTAAAATATTTTTAAATAAATGATTTTCACAGGGGAGCTTAATGTTCTTGCTGCACCTCCCTGTTGTCTCTGGGTATGACAGCTGCCTTCCACTATCCACAGATCGGCACATTTGAGTAATCGCTGATTCAAAATTGACTGTAGGCATGAATGTGAACCAGAATGTTTCTCTGTGTTCGGCCTACGAAGGGCCGGCAATCTGTCCAGAGTTTACCCTGCATCTCTGACCAAGCTTGCCAAAATGAGCTGGGACAGGCTCCAGCTCACTGCAGCCCTGAATCAGATCAGCTGTTCAGACAACAGATGGATCAAAAGTCTATGAAAACAGTGAAAGCTGTTTTGTCTAACTTCCAAAATATTAAATTTATCATAATTGAAAGGCAAATAAAAGCAGCAAATGTTGACAATTAAGTTAATTCTCCCTAAAGCGAATGGCAGTGTGTGGTTATGTGATGGTTAAGCACTTTGTTTTTGATGCACTCAAACGATGAACTCTTTTGTTTTTCCCCAGCAGAAAGAGTTTCACTGGAGTCTGTTTTGATTTTTCTGTTTTGAAATCGGACGACAGTTTACATTTTTAGAGAACAAAATCCAAAAGTCTTTAAATTTACAGAAATGAGGCCCCAAAAGCGGAAAGTTCAGAGGAATTGTAAAATGGGAACAAAAGCTTGACGGTTAATATGTAATCATGTATCAAAATAATGGACAATAACTTTCCATTGATGAGCTAATGGATTTACTGACTAACTGCAGCTTTATTTTCTTAGTATCCATTAGTTACAGTGCAGATTGACCATGATCTCATGGAGAAGGCGCACCAAAGGTCGAAGGCGATCCTCTAAATTTAACCACTAAAAGCAGTTGTTAAAATATCTGTAATAGGCTGAGCAACATTACCATCCCATACTCAGCTGACGGCGCAATAATGAGGAAGAGTGCGAGCAGCAGAGCGCAGGCAGTGGGGAGGTGATCGGAGAGGCTGGAATCTGTCTGTGCGCTCGGCTGATAGAGAGCAGATCGAGCAGCCGGCTCATTCTGGATGGGAAAACCAACATTTTCACATTACACACACACAGAAAGCTTCCACTTTCACACGGCTGATCGCCTCCTCACAAAAAAAACACACCATCTCTCTCTCTCACACACACACACACACACACACACACACACACAC